GGAACAGAGAAGAGTGAAGAGAGCCCAGAACAGTAACAGGAGAGGGTTAGCGTTGAGATGCATGGGCAGTGCTTGCGGTGTGGGGGGCAGCATTGAAATAGGAGGGGGGCTGTAGATCAGGACTAGGGTACATGCAGAGTTGGGTGGGTCCCAGGGCCGGGATGGCAGAGGGGCTGCAGGTCAGGACTGGGGTACATGCAGAGTCGGGTGGGTCCCAGGGCCGGGATGGCAGAGGGGCTGCAGGTCAGGACTGGGGTACATGCAGTGTCGGGTGGGTCCCAGGACTGGAACAGGAGGCATTGCTACCAGGTGGCATGGAGTTGCAGTCTAGTGCTTCCCTCTCACTCCAAATCCTGCCGTGTGGGGTGGACAGACAGTGCTACACGTGACTCACACTCACTGCTCTTCACTGTCTGGAATCCTGCCTGCCCCTCCTAGCTTTCCCAGCTCCCTCCCTGTCTAGGTGGCTGCTTCTCTGGGCAGACCCAGCCCCCTGTCATTCATCTGACTGTCCCAGCCACACCCCCACCCCCGGCCAGCAGTGCAGGTTAACTCCTGAGTGTACAACAAAGTTCAGTGAACACAATACACCCAGGGAGAAGAGGTGGGTGCACAGGGGCCTGCCCTCTGCTCCCCACACTCGGTCCCAGCTCCAGCACCCCCTCCAAGCAGCACTTCTGTATCAGGGCCTGGCCCACCATGGGAGATCCTGAGGGGAGTCTTCCAATTGCCCTCAACGTGCTTTGGATCAGGCCCTTCAATGTCATGGACCCAGTTCAGCCCTCCCACGAGTGGGTTAGGCTGCCAGGGAAGCGGTGACCAGGTTAGGGCTGCAGGGAATCCAAGAGAACCGCCCCAGGTTGTGAGGGAGTTTGGGGCAGCATAATGCTGCTGCTGCGAGGAGAATGGGTCCCTGTATCCCCTACCCCCTCCACACACACTGTCCCCCCCACACACACATAGCCGGGACCTGCTGCCAGAGAGGCAGGCTGGGCTGGAATGCACTCAGCCAACTGGCTCCCCTCCACCTCCGCTCTGTCAGTCTTGGGTGGCAATGAGAAGGGTGGGGCGTGGCAGGGATGCCTGGCTCCCAGAGCCTGTAGCATGTCCAGCACCATGCCAGAGCCCAGCCTCGGGGACTGGATTCCATGGCAGGATGGAGGCCGGGGCTGGGGCCCAGACAGGTGGATAACGTTGATCGGACAGGTCGGTATCTCGGGGGTGATGCCAGTAACTTCACTGGCTGCAGGTCGCCGTACTGCCTGCCCTGCTGGGACACGACACTTGGCTTTCAGGCTAGGGAGAATCAGGAGGGCTATCTATGTGCTGCGTTGGGTATGCAAAACAGCCACTCTGGGGGGTTTCTGTGGCTGGGAGCTCCCCCTACGGCACGGGCAGGCAGGTAGCAAGAGCTGTCACCTCGGAGGAGAGGCAGAGGCGGGAGAGCTGCATTTCCATGCCTCCCCTCAATCCCGCACAGACACCAGCAATGTCCCCAGCTCTGTGCTTAATTTGTGCCTCAGCCCCGGCACCTCCGGGCCTGGCAGTTCACAGCCCTGGCACCTCTGCTTGTTGCATCAGTTATGAATGTAAAAAGAGTCCTTGACCCCGGCCCCTCTTTCATTACAGATTAAACACTGCCCTGGATCCACCCAAGCCAGCGATTTCCTCCTCGCGCTCAACACTTCCTCGCTGAACTGAATGCAGCCCGGCCACGAGCTCTGATTTCTTCTGATCTCCAGCTGCCAGCCCTCGCTGGGCACCCAGCTCTCCTGCGTGCTCCCGGGCGCGGGGGAGCTCCGCATCTCTTTCTTTGCTCGGCCTGCCTTTTCTGGGCCTCTCTTCAGCTCGTTCTTTCCTTTGTTCTAGCTCCCCGTCCCCACATTAAACAAACAGAACATAACAACCTGGGGCCTTCTCTGTACCTGTTCCCAGTCTTCCCCCTATACCTGCTCAGTAACTGCTTTGGTCCATCAGCCTCACCTAGGGTGACCAGATGTCCTGATTTTATAGGGACAGTCCCGGTTTTGGGGTCTTTTTCTTATATAGGCTCCTATTACCCCCCACCCCCTGTCCTGATTTTTCACATTTGCTGTCTGGTCACCCTAGGCCCACCCCACCCCTCGGTCTGTTTCACCCCCAGCTGCAGACTCGGTGTCAACAAAGGCAGAGAGGAGGCAGCCTAATGGTTCTGTTGGGCAGCCACCTGGAGGGGCGGGCAGGCAGGCTGTGGTGCTTGCCCCGGTGCCAGGAAGGAGCTGGGGGAAGCATTCTGGCTGCAGGAAGGCGGTGGCACGGCACTGAAAACGCGCCTTTCGCCTAATCCGTGCCACTGGCCAGCAGGAATCACACATCTCCTGGCCTGCTCTCCTTGGTCGTGATAACAGGGGGAAAGTTTAAGAATAAGGCCTTTGTGTCTCAGCCTGGAGTCAGGGAGCTCAAGCCCCTAGGGGATAGCTGCTGCATGGTGCTAGTCACAGTAGCGAGATTCGGGGCAATAGTCTCTTTCTGTGAGCAGAGGCAGGCAGCTTCAGAGAATGCAGGAAAGCAGCTCATGGGCTAGGACAAAATTCCAGAGCAGGGTGTGGGACAAAAAGAGATCAAAGGAAGGAGAAGCCACAAAGGCAGCTCCAGGTGCCTGTGGGAACTGCTCAGCTGCTGGCGCTCAGATCCTGGCAGTTCGGGGAGATACACCCTTTGCCTTTCTCTACTGCCTTCCCCACCCAGCAGCCTCAGAGCACGTCACAGGCATTAATCAAGTCAGCCTGATAGAGGGTTGTGCAACACCTACAATGGGGCCCTGGTCCGTGAGGTGGTCTCCTGGGGGCTACCACAACACACATAATAAACACCACCACCCCTGGGAGGCAATCCGCATTAGACAGGTGGGGAATCAATGCACAGCGAGGCTAAGGAACTTCCCTAGGTCACACAGGAAATCTGTGGCAGAGCCTGGATGAGACCCAATGGACCTGAGCCACCACTGGCCTGCACCAGTGGGCAGGGAGCATGACACTCTCCGATTCTGAGGGGGTAGCTTTTTACACCCACCTTGCACTAGTGTGAATGACTGCTGGGGTCTGTCCCAGGCCTCCCCACTTACAGTCCTGGGCTGTAACAAGCCATCCTCCCCACAGGAGAAAGGCACAAGGGTCTGGAAGGACGGGAGGCCAGTTTCCTCCAGCCCCTCGAACACACACTCCCTAAACATGGTGTTATTAAATGAAATAGCTACTAAACGCTTCAGCGTCACACATCCATAATAGACAGAAACCTCTTGGATCTGTCATCCCACGTCTAGTCTGCCGGGTGCCATAGGGACCATGACTGGGGGGAGTTAGAGATCGTGCACCAGGGTCAGAGATCGGCTAGTACGTGAGACCCTTCATGCTGGGGGCATGGGAGCAGCACCCCGGGAACAGTCCATGGGGAGCTGATGAGCTAGACGCACGGAGTGAGCGGGGACTCCGCTAGCTCAGGGGCACCCGTGCAATGCCAGGGCAAGGAAACACAGGTCTCCCCCAAGCCAGTATTTGAAACCTGCCACAGTCCTGATCCCTGCTGACATCTGCTGGATCGTGCCTACTGGCATAGCTCCTTTGCAGCTGGTCGGGGAGGGGGGGGGGGAGCATCCTCTCCCCACCCCCAGCTTACAGTCTGGGCCCCAAATCCAGGCACCCTAGCAAGCGGTACAAACGTGCCCAGGGAGCACCTGGCTTACGGGCTACAGACCCTCGGGGGGGTCGCTCCGGGCAGGCACGTGCGCTTGTCTCCAGATGGGTGGAGAGGCTCATAGGAAGCTCGGGGGACTCTGGAGTGGAGATCCGCTGCCAGGGCCAGGGCTGTGTCTTCCATGGACCGGCGGGGGGGAATGTCCTCCGTGGGGAAAACCATTAAATGTTAAACGTTTGCAAAAAAAAAAACAAAAACCCCAAACCCAACAAATCCCCAGCCCTGGAAAACGAACGCCGGGAGGGCTCCCAGGCCTGGCTGAGAAGTGTCCCCCCCCCGCTCCCTGGCAGACCAGGGGAGAGAGAAACACACGCCCGGCCCTTGCCCCTCCTCGTGCCGCCGCGGAAAGAGACAAGGAAAGGGGGCGGGGCTGGGATCGGGGGCGGGCAGCCTGAGGGCCCCCCCCCCCAGCAGGCCGGGGGGGCCAGCCCTAGCACGCAACCAGGGGAGCTGCTGTTGCAAAACAAGAGACGCTGGCGCTCCCAGCCATGCCACAAACAGGGCGTGCTGGAAAGCCCGGGCTGGATTCCTCAGGGAAGGAGCCAACAACAGGTGGGAGCCCCCGGCTTGGTGACTTTCTCTTGTGCTGGTGATATCCACAGGGTGAGCTGGTCCCCTCAGACAGTGGGGGACGGTTCACCCCCGTCCTGCCCAGTCTGCCCCACATGGACCCATTCCTTGGCCTCTAGGGCCCTGGCGGGAGCCCTGACAGGTTCTGCCCCCCCCTCCCCCATTTCCCCAGGGAGATGCCCCCAAGTTCGAGCTCCCTCCACCCAGTGTGGGCTCCCCCATTAAACCTGCTGCACAAACCCGTAGCGAGAGAGCAAATGTATGGCACAAAAAACAGCCGCCAGGCCAGCGCAGGAAGGCCAGATCACCTGTCTCGGAGGCAGAGCTCCCATTAACACAGCAAGGAGAGCAGCACCTTCCCACTCAGGAGCTCAGTGCGAGTCACAGACGTTGGCCAGCTGAACCTCCCGCAGCCCCCCACCCCCGAGGGCAGGGAACAATCATTATCCCTATGGTACAGATGGGGAAACAGAGGCACAGGGTAGCAAAGTGACTCACCGGCTGTCACAGAGCAGAGCTAGGCCTGCCTCCCAGTCCCCACCCCCTGTATAATCCCATCCCCAGCAGAGGTGACAGATGAGAGGGGCTGGAGCCCTGCCCCCAAAGCCAGCAGTCCCTCGAGAGGCCCCTTGACATAGCTAGCTTTGGAGGGCAGCACATCCTCCCCTGTGAAGCCCATCATGCCCCCCACCCCTTACCTTTGACCTCGACGTAGTCAAGCCTAGGTCCGTTGGTCCTGGGAACAGAGCCGCTCTTCTGCAGCATCCTCATGCGGACTTGCTCCTGCACCCGGGCGCTCTTCAGCAGCTCCGCGTCGGGCGCCTCCTTGCTCTTCCTGTCCAGCTGCTGGTCCGAGGGCAGTGCCAGGGAGCACACGCCGGCCTCCGGCTGCAAAGCCGACAGGAAGAAGTTATTCTCCTGCATGGCTCCTGTCCCGGCTGGGCAGGGAGCGTGGCTCGGTCTGTCCCAGGGCCCTGGCTCTGCCAGGGAAAGGTCCCACTGGTGTTGCTAACACCAGTTCCACTTCCTCTGTCCGTCTGAGCCCAGGGCCAAGCTGAGACGCCAGGGAGCTGAGGGTCTGCAGGTCCTGGCTGGGGAGTCAGTCTGAGCTGCTCTGAGGAGACGGCACTGGGTGCCCCCGGCCCACACCACTCCTATCCTCGCACAAGTGCTGGCTTCCTGGGATGGGACTCTGCCACTCTGAGACACGGTTACACCCCTCTGCCTAGCCACTGACATCACCGAGGAGGCCGGCTTTCAGGCAGAGCAGGTCAGCCAGTTCCACCTTAAGCAGGTGAGGCCTTTGGCGGGGCCTGGCTTCCTCAGCTTTAAGGTGGAATTGCAGGGATGCACAACCAGCTCCTGCCCTGCCACGCCTTGTCAGCTGCGTAAACCAGCACAGGCAATTACTGGAGTCGCCACCCCATGCCTCAGGGGCCAGGGCAGCCAGGAGGTTTGTGGGGGTGCTGGCACCCTCCTCCCACCCAGGCTGCATGGGTAGCTGAGTGGCCCTGCTGCCCGTGGCCTGATGTGACGGCACCAGGAAAGGCTGAACGCAGAGATGCTGCGCCATAAAACCCAGAGCGACCATGCTGCCCTGGCCAACCCAGGCTTGGTCACGGCAGCAGCCTCCTGGCTCGGGAAGGATTAGCACTGCAAGCTAGAGACTCCGATATGCAGCCAGCATTGGGGGCCAAGGGCGGGTGCTGTTGCTGCTCAGGAGCTGGGGTAGTCAGGGGGCATTCTGTTCCCATGCATCGGGGTCTGGCCCTGTTGGAAACAGCAGCGTGGGGCATGTGGGCAGGGCAGGGGAAAATTGGGTTTGATTGTGGGCAACAGCAGTAATACAGGCTGTGTGCTCTGGGCCAACTTCTCCTCCCTCATGGCCAGGGGGTACCTGGGAGCAGGATCTGGTCCTGCATGTGCTGGGGGGTCTCATGGGGGAAAGTGGGTTCTTTCCCATTACATCTTAGGCTCCCTAGAGGGGTACACAGCCCCCAGATGGGCTGAGCTTAGGGCATTCAGAGGGGCCGCAGCAGGCAGGGTGACCAGATGTCCCAATTTTATAGGGACAGTCCTGATTTTGGGGTCTTTTTCTTATATAGGCTCCTATTACCCCCCCACCCCCGTCCCAATTTTTCACATTTGCTGTCTGGTCACCCTAGCAGCAGGGCAGGATTCGGGGCAGGACTCTCTTGATCCTAGCCAAGGTCTTTCCCCAGAGTTAGTTTGAGGCAGGTGGGACTGGGGGACCAAGGGTGGGGAACTGCGACTGGGAGCAGCCAGGAGGCCATGTTGCATTAACTGGGGCAAGGACCCACAGAGAATGTTCTCATGGAACGGTAGCCGCAAGCGTAATGGCACAGTCTGATAATGGAGTCAGCAAAGGAGGCTGTGCGTGGGGACCATGTCTGACGGCCATTGGGGCGGTGTACGTGGGCAGTGCCTGGGGGCCAGCTGGGATGTGTGGTGGGCAGGGCAGGGGGGCTGTGGCTGGGGGCTGTGGTGGGTGGTGCACAGGGTGGCCAGGCAGCAGTAGCTGGCCAGTAACTTAAAGTGGAGTTTAGCGAGTGTTGGATGGCCGTGTGGGGTGTGGCCAGTGTTTGAGCTGCAGGCATTCTGCAGATGTGGCGTGAACAAGGGTGAGGGGGGGAGACAATAAAAGTTAACAGGAAGCGCCATCACTTGGGCACATTATCAAGGTGCCCGCACTGGGCCAGGATGAAGCTGAGTGGGGGGGCAGCCCCCCTCATCCTCCCTGAGAGAAGAAGAGCACAACACCCACATCCACTGCCTGGGCCTGCAATCCCTGCACACGCCAGTCCGCTGACTGTCTGTATCCCCAGCTGAGCGCTGATTGCACCTGTGCCGAAGCCGAGGTGCTCTAACACAGACACCCGGTGCGTGGTGGGGCCAAGATGCTAGGGAGAATACAGTCAAACTCCTGAGCCTGGATGCACAGGGCAGCCCAGCAAGGAGAGCAGATGGCACTGGGCCAGAACTCAGCAGATCTGGGTTCAATCCCTGTCTCAAATACTGTCTCTGGGTGCGTACGCAGGGCTCAGTTCCCTGTGTGCAAAGCACTTTTGTAAGCCTGGCCCTTGATTTCTTTATGCCTTGGTTCCCCCGTCTCTCAGCTGGGGATGATCATCCTTCCTTTGTCCCACTCTGCATTTGTCCTATTTAGACAGTGAGCTCTTTAGGGCAGGGGCTGTCTCTCCCCCGTCTCTGTGCGGCACCCAGCTCCCTAGGTCCTACTGTTAATATCAAATGAAGGGCATCCCTTGCGGCCAGGAAGCAGAGCCAAGCCCTCCACACCCCTGAGCATCACAGTGGCCTATTAATCCGAGGGGGAAGCAGCTTGTCCTGCCTGTAATACTCCTGCACAGAGCCAGCAAGTGACAATCAGGTGCATGCTGCAGACAATCCTGTCTTCCTGGCAGAGTGTAATTAACGAAGGGTTGTGAAGCACAGTGTGATGCCCTGATCAAAGGTGCTGGCCTGGCAGAGTCATAACAATTAATTGCCGGGCCCAGTTGTTTAGCTTCCCCCAATCTGATGAGAGAAGGGATATGCAGGCCAGCACTGCCCCACTGTTCTGAGCACCCGGCTATTAAGCCCTGTCTGACTAACTCCAAACACTCAACACCCTCAGGATAGACCAGCCCCAGCTTTAGAAGTGGGAAAGTGGAGCCTCTAGAGTGGTGACCAGTTCAGCCAGTGAGTCAGAGCTGGAAGTTCTCAAGCCCTAGGCTCCATCTACTAGGCCATGCCCCTTCACTACTACATTCCTGCCTGCTCCACACACTGCATTGCCAATCCTTGCGATTTTTCCATGTGACAGTGTTTTCTTAAAGCCCCAACTCCTAAACTCCCTACGATTATGTTAGTCTCTTAGCTTTCCCTTAAAAAACAAAAAACAGAGTTTCTAGCCTTCTTGGCTGCAGAGAATAGCTTGAAAACGTGACCCCTAAAGGTTCAGAAACTAGAAAGCAAAGAAAAGGAACCACACAGTTGTTATTTTTAAAAATCCTGTGATTTTTAAGCCGATGTCACGATTTCCATTGACCTTACTGATCACACAGCTGCTAGAACATTATCTGTATTTGCTCCACCAGTCATTTTTGCAGTTCACTTTTAAAGCATGTTGGTGCTGAGTGGGATTGTGTCCTTTTATTTTTCCTATGGGATTTGAAGAAAGCCAGAAAGGTTTGGTTGGTTATTAACATTACAAATTTGTGTCCTTCAATTCACCTCTCCTGGCAGGTTCCCTAGCTGACTGGAGAACGAGTGAGATGGTGTTACAGGTACTAAGGAATTGAAATCCAATTAGTCTGTGTGTCCTGGGGTTTGAAAAGGGCAACAAAAATGATTCGGGGTCTGGAACAGCTTCCGTATGAGGAGAGATTAATAAGACTGGGACTTTTCAGCTTGGAAAAGAGACGACAAAGGGGGGAAATGATAGAGGTTTATAAAATCTTGACTGGTGTGGAGAAAGTAAATAAGGAAGTGTTATTTACTCCTTCTCATAACACAAAAACAAAGGGTCATCCAATGAAATTAATAGACAGCAGGCTTAAAACAAAGAAAAGGAAGTATTTCTTCACACAATGCATAGTCAACCTATGGAACTCCTTGCCAGAGGATGTTGTGAAGGTCAAGACAGGGTTAAAAAAAGAACTAGACACATTCATGGAGGATAGGTCCATCAATGGCAATTAGCCAGATGGGCAGGGATGGTGTCCCTAGCCTCTGTTTGCCAGAAGCTGGGAATGGGCGACAGGGGTGGATCACTTGATGATTACCTGTTCTGTTCATTCCCTCTGCGGGACCTGGCTTGGCTGCTGTCAGAAGACAGGACACTGGGCTAGATGGACCTTTGGTCTGACCCAGTATGGCTGTTCTTATGACATGAAACTACAGCTGGGCCCAGACTCACCAGACATGAGAGATGCTCCCAGCATATAAAAAGTCAGATCCAGATTCTGAACTGCTCAGAGCTCGGCTCCAGGGAGGCTCAGCTCCTTATAACAGGCACCCTGTACAAACTCCAGAGCCAGATTTTGAATTCCCCACCACAACAAAGTTCAGGGGAGTCTGGATCTGAGCTGTTGGCCCAGGCCAACCTCCAAAAGCTGGGTGAGCCTTAGTGCCCCTAAATCTGGGGTTTGTAACAATCCCCTGACCCATCCTGGTCCTTTCATTTGGTGGGAGGTTTGTTGCGACTGGCTCTCAGAGCTCTGCGTGCAGAACAAGTTTGAGTTGGACGGACAAGCCTCTTCTGGCCAGATAGTGCCTGACCACAGCATGAGGACAGGAGGGAAGGGGTCGATGGGAGCCCTTTTGACCCACCCTATTTGCTCAATGGGGCAGGAGGCAGCTGCAGCTTTCACCTCCTCCTGGGAAGAAGACAAGAATACACAGGGCACAAAGGAGGACAATAGGGAACAGAGACAGAAAAGGACAGGAGAGAGCAGGAGCACTCAAACCACCGGAGAAGACAGCTCCATGATGGTATGAGCCACAGCAGAGCACGAGGGAAGCTTCCAACTCAAGACCTCTGTAATCAGGAAATGAAACCGGTGTCTAGCGATGGGCGTTTATAGGGAAAACTATCATCTTTTGGCTTGAAACCATAACTTCCAGCCTGCTGCTAGAACCCTGGCTCCCCTCCCCACCTCTGTTGCAATGAAGTCTAGTGGTTAGCATAAGCCACTGAAAGCCAGGACACCGGGCTTTTATTCCTTATGCAGCCACTGACTCACTGTTACAACCTTTGGGCAAGTTGTTTTAACCTGCGTGCACCTCCAGCACTACAAACATAATAACCTGTCTGTGCTGCTCGGTTAATGACACCGACCCACGCCGGGGGAATTGCTTTGAGATCCTCAGATGAAAGATGTGATCCTCTGCACTCAGTCCGACCACCTGCGCTCCACCCAAGCGTCTCAGCCACTCCCCTCTTCACGTCTCCTTTCATCCTTTGATGATTTAACTGGGAATTGGTCCTGCTTCGAGCAGGGGGTTGGACTAGATGACCTTCTGGGGTCCCTTCCAACCCTTATATTCTATGATTCTATGATTCTATGCTTCCCTGCACACCTCTAATTAATGCTCCCCAAATGCCCTGGCATCAAAACCTTCCCGAGAACCCACTTGTTCCAGGAAGCAGCCCCGTTAGAAAG